TTTGATTATTCCATCCGCATGAATTCTATTTTTGTATTAGAATATAATAGATTTCTAGCTTGTTATTAACTAAGAGAACTCTTGCCCTTTGAAAAAAATTACCAACCATATGAGACGTCCAACTTCTACCTATCTTTAGGATTTCAAAACTACTCTTGTTTTATGATACATTATTGATTCTTTATTACCTAATATTGAGTTGATGAATTTTAAGTATTCTCCTATCTCAAAAACAAAAACAAAATCTCAAACTATAACCAACATTGCATTTTTTATTCTAAGATTGATGATTTTGAAAAAGATTGTTTTAATCCTGAAAGTTTAAACCGGTGATGAAAAAAACATTTACCTTAGGTGATATGAAAATCCAACTGATTTGCATCGATTACATACAATATTACCTAGAATCGTCAACATAGTGACCCCAATTAATGTCAATCTATATGTTAAAGGTGTATTATAGGATCTTTAATGTCATATAAAAATGATAGGGTATTTGATATTAATTTAAAAATAGTTATTGATTAATTTTATCTCTACAAATACTTGAAAAATGGTTTTATATGAATTAGTAGTATTTCTTGAATTCAATGTTATTTACAATGATAAAAACAACATATTAAAGATTATTTCATATTTATCGAAGAGCCTTTTTATATCTCGTTCATGGCCTATAAAATGTCAGGAATAGACCTGTGAAGATATGTATAGGACACAACTTCCTGATGAATAGTCTCTCTAACCATTATATTGTCACCAACTAGTAAAAACCAAGGTTCTAAGTGGGTTGATGGGTATATATATATATATATATATATAGGGGGAAGATCAAATGTTAACCAACAATTTTTTGTTAACTTTGAAAACCATAACAACCAATCAAATTTTATTATTCTTGTAGGTTTATGTCATGTTCACATTTTAATTACAATGGTATTTTAGTAAATTGATTTGATATGTAACTCTGAAACAATTAATGGGGAGTTACAAATCATCAAATCCCAAAAAATATGCATTTATAATATTAATATTTTTATTTTTTTTAATCTTGATCTTCCATGTTTATTGTTTTATCAATTTTTAATTCGCATAGAAAACACGGTAGTAAAAAAATTTCGGTATCAATCAAGCTAATATGGATAACTGCAATGAAATATAAATCGACAACAGTGAAAAGATTAAAATTGTTTATGATGACAATCAGAGTTCGAGGTCGGGAATTGAAAAATTAACCAAAGCGAATGTCTTGGTAATAAATTTTTTTTAGATTCGTTTTAATCGAAATTATGTTCATTATGATGTGTTATGTTTTATATAATTCGTCTTGTATTGATAACTTTTTTTTATAATTACTAAAATACGTATCTAATTCACATGTTCAAATGGAAGTACATGTACGACCCATTTTCATATTGTCATATTACCGACTTTTATGAATCATGAACCATTGTGTTCACTACTTCTATCATATGAACACAAGTGTTATTTTTTAAGCTTGATACCAGATCTTTATATTTGTATAAGTGTTTGCACCCGGTGTTTATAGCATTAGAGTTATGTGTTCATATATTTTATACGATATGAGCAAGGGGTGAACACGATATGAACAAAGGTGAACAACCATATAAGATCAGAAACATATATGAACAAGGGGTGAACCTTAAATGGTGTGGATGCAATGCATGTATAAAACTTCAATTGACAAAGGATTGTACCTGAATATGTTTATAATGAAGGAACTATTGTTCACAAGCTGTTCATGTCGTGTTCATACCTGTTTTTATTTATTTATTTCTTTTCGTATAACAATTTTTCTTATTATATTCATATTGTGTTCATAAATGCTATGCAGTACAAGTTCATATATATGTCAAATTTTTGTTCGTATTTGACACAATGGTTCATATATATATATATATATATATATATATATATATAGTTGTGTTCATATGGTTCTTACATTAACAAAAATAAATTAACAAAAAAAAATCATACAATTTTTTATATTGTAACTCCCAATTAATTAATGATATAGGAGTTACATAATTTTTTTTACCTAAATACCCTTTTCAACTTTGTTCACTTATCCTTATGAAATTTTAAATTAAAAAAAAAAATGTTTTTATCATGATTAATCACAACCGTTTATTGAAAAAATGAATGACCAAGATCGGTTAACAAAGTTAACACAAAAACTTTGGTTAACATTTGAACATGACCCTATATATATATATATATATATATATATGAAGTACTGTTTATCAATGCATATTATTTAAAATTTAAGATTATAAGTAAATTGTGCATACGTACAACTTGTTAAAGCTCCATTTTTGAATTCGTATAACTAACTGCAGATAAAGATAATCAAATATATATAAACATCTCATTTTAAATTAAAAAAAAATCTAAAATTACAATTAGGATAATCGTTGAATTCTGACATAATTATTATCTTTATAAATATTATATTGTTAAGTCAAAAATGAATTACTTCGTTATTAGACCTAAATTAAATTATAGTAAAAGTTGAATTAAAGAAATTGTATAAAAAAGAGAGCTTTTAAATAGTTAATTTTGTATTAATGTCGATATATTTTTTTAATTTTTATGATATCTTCAAATTTATTTTTATTCAAAAATAAAATAATATCTTTTTTAAAACCACATAAACTATTATATTAACAGAGACAAAAAATAAAACGAAAATACTAAAATGAAAATGTATCTCGCTATATTACGCGAGTACCCTTCTAATATATATATATATATATATATATATATATATGGGCAAGTCATTTGTTAACCGAAATTATTGTGTTAACTTTTTATAAACTAATCATGACCATTGATTTTTAAAATATAGGGTTGAGATTAATCATATTATAAATTTAATTTATCATCCTTGTAATCTCACAAACATATGTGAACATAGTAGCTCAAGGGTATTTATGTAAAAGAGGAGGTGCAATCAATATCATGGGTTACAAACAAAAGAAATCGTATATGTTCAATTGTGTTCATAATTGTAACAAGTGTTCATATATGTTCAATTTGTGTTCATAATGGCCACAAGTGTTACATATATGTTCAATTTGTGTTCATAATTGTCACAAGTGTTCATATATGTTCATAATTGCCACAAGTGTTCACATATATGTTCAATTTGTGTTCATAATTGTTATAAATGTTCATATATGTTCAATTTGTGTTCATAATTGCCATAAGTGTTCACATACATGTTCAATTTGTATTCATAATTGCCACAAGTGTTCATATATGTCAATTTATGTTCATATGGTTGTATACATGTCAATTTGTGTCATATATGTCAATTTGTGTTCATAATTACCTAGACACTCGCTTTGATTATTTACTTCACTTCTTGATCTTGAACTACAACTGTCACCATAAACAATTTTAACCTTCTCAATATTGTCGTGTTGTTTTTCAATGTCTTAATCCATAATTGCTTGAACGATAACAAATTTTAGTAGCGGATCTCCTCCAACAATCACAAATTTATAAATATTAAAAATGGAAGATCAATATTAAAAAATGAAAAAAAATCACAAGATCAATATTAAAAATGCAAAAATATGAGATTTTATGGATCTTGCAACTCCAAATTAATGATATAGGAGTTACCAAAAAAATTTACCCATATACCCTTAACATAAAATTCTTAGATAGAGTATAACCTAATAATAAGATGTATTGTGATTGGTTGAAAATGTTCATAAAATTAACACAATAATTTAGATTAATATTTAAACTATACGTTCTCTCTATATATATAGAGAGGGRGGGGGGGGGGGGGGGGGGAGAGAGTAGTGGGGAATCAAATATAAAACCAATAAAATGTTGTTCCATTACATAAATATGTAAATTTCGACATTGTTTTGCGTATGAAAAAAACACGAAAATATGTATTTATGTGAAACACACACTCACACATAAGAATAAAAACATATGAAAGAATATAAATCATAAAATAAAATCAAGCTCATTAAATGGTTTAGATTGGTTATCATGAGTTTGTAACTTTTATTAGTTTTGTATTTGATTATTAGGATCACCAAAAAAAGGTTGGTTTCATAACTAGTCAACAAGTCTATAATCACATTGAAAACCTGAAATTAGGTTATATACAAAAAAGAAGAACACAAAAATCAAATAAAAAAGAATTTCAAAAAAGCATTAGGCGATGGTGTGCCGCAACATGGTGTTGTAGACGAGCTTTGAGTGATGTCTGCCTTCAGGACAAGTCTTTTAGAACATTGTTAGAAACCCAAAACCTACTATGTATTTTTAGAAAAGGAAAAAACGAAGCAGCCGAAGTCGATCAAAGCAGGAGATGCACACCAGACGAAGTCCAACTCCACCCTCTGGCACGCGGTTGATGGAATGACACAAATGGATTAGGTTTTTCATATTTTCACCGACGGGAAAATTAATGAGCGGGGAATTAGGTTTTGTTTTTTAGTTTATAAAATTTCAGTTTTACAAGTCGCATTTACCATAACAGAATAGGCGGAGTTTAGGGTTTAGAGAAAGAGGGCAAAAGGGTAATTTTTCTTGTACTAAACGAAGTCCGGTTGGCAAAACCAAAAATACCATATATATATATATATATATATATATATAATATAATGGACGAAATTTGATTGTTCTATTTATATAAAATTTTGCATATTAGAAAAAAAATGGGCTACATGAAGAAGTAACTCATTTTTTATGGTGAGTTGATTTCAAATGCTTTATGGTTAATACCACATGCATTAAAAAATATGCACCTGTAAGTACTATAAATCAAAGATAATTCAAATCTCCCCAAAAGTTTCTTTAATTGATAAAGTGGCTGCATTGAGGTGGTGTCCCATGTGTATCATGGATCATACATACCTAGTTGCCTCTCTTCCAATTTGCTTCATGAATTAAAAGGTGCTACTTGTGCTGTTTTATGACCAGAAAGGTAATTAGAAAGAAGCTTTCGGAAATGAAGCAAACCTGGTTTTGTAAAATTACATGCATAATTACTATAATATAATTAACCCACAATTTCTACAGTTCAAAAACAAATTAAAATCACGAAAATTAAAGTAAAACTCGAACTCAAATTCATCAACTTCTTTCTGATCTTGATCGATCGGTTATATATTTACCATGATCCGCCTCCTAACCCTCCACCCCAATACCCACTAGAAGATTCTCCTTGCCCTCTAGTTGCTTCAAGCAATTCACTATTTGTGGTTGAAATAGGCTTCAAATCTTCAAAAGGGAATAAAATCCTTGCATTTTCACTTGTACCAGCAGTTGTAGTTATGGTACTCATGGTGCCTTGATGATTGGTTACCCCACCCCCTCCTTGTAGATGATGATGTTGATGATGATGATGATGATAACCCCCACCATTTTCAAACCCATCAAGAGAAAAATTCAAACCTGCAGGAGAATTCATGATCATGGTGTTGGGTAACGAGTTCATCATCACCTGTCTGGGATCAGCAAATCCACTTTTCAAGAAGTCCATGGCTGAGAACTGTGATGAACTGGAGGTGGTTGTGGTGTTTGGATTGTAGGGCAAGTTACCAAATTGAAGAGAAACGTTTGTATAACCTAGGTTTAGGTCTTGACCGTGACCTTGACCTTGACCACCATGATTTTGGATGATAGTCTTGCTAGGGTTTTGTGCGATCAAACTTGGTATTGGTGGGCCCATCATCATCTGGTGCTGATTCTTGGATATCGAAGCTGCTGCTGCTGCTGGTGGTGGTACTGATGATGATGATGATGATGATGATCGCTTGTTCCTCCGTGATCCACCACCGACCGGAACATTTCTGAGAGATCCACCTTCAGTCCAATACCTTCTACAAGTTTTGCAAAAATACCTTGGCTGAGAGAGGCTGTAATTGTTGTAGTAACAAAACTTTGTGTGTGCAGAATTGCACCTTGGACAGTTCAAAGCTTGTGGCTTTTGTGCTCTAATAGTTTTCTTTTCTTCCATGGATTTCACCATTCCCAATCCCTGAAAAGTTGAAAAAGAAAAAGGAAAAGCAAAAGAGAAACACATGACTCCATGCTATCAAATCCAAATCAGATTGTCTCAAAAAGAAACCTCTTTTAGGTCAACTTTTTTATCAGATGGTGGGAATTTAAAAGGGAAAGTTATAAAGAAAGTGCAGTAAGTACTTTCAAGAACAATATTATGAGAGATGTAAAACAGACAAACAACTCAAAGATTTGGGTTTAGTGGTTGAACAACAACATCATCATCTCTTTTAGAAGTGAATCATCAAAAACAAGAAACAAAACCCTAACTAGCTAGAAAGTTGAAAATCAAGAAATTGATTAAAAGACATAATATATATATATATATATATATATATGTGCATGGTCGTCGTCTTTATATGTATTTGAATTGAGATTAGGTTACCTCCGACCACTGAGCAGCATCCATTAGATGATATCAAGAAAAGGGAAAGTTTGTGGAGATGTTGAGAGAGAAGGAGAAAAAGCAGACTACATACACCCACCCACTTTTGGGAGATTGGAGGTGGTCATAAAGCAACTGGATCGGAGAAGGTGCGGTTTGGCTCACTCAACTCACTTATTATATGTGGCACCGCATGGGAGGGGCATCTTTGTCTAAATCATTCCCCACTATTAATTCCTAGAGAGAGAAGATTGTGAAATATATCAATATTTGGTCATAACGTACAGTAGGAATGTTATAAAATATGACAGCATATGTTAAACTAATTTCACATGAAATATTAACACATGTTAACTTTAGATGAACATATGCTAAACAAAGTATTTCATATCTTGTTATTATGCCTTTTACAATATTTTAATTTTCTATTGGGAGAAATGAGTTTCAAATCAAAACCATGTAAATATAACAACTATACAAATTAATCTTGATCATCCATCTGACCTAATGAATATTTGGGTTTATAAATATCTCGATTGTTTTTAATTTATAATAAGATTGTTTAATTCTCGTTTGAACCTCCACACACACATACATATACACACATATATGGCAGATCAATGAAAACAATATTAAAATAAGAGAAAACAAGAAAACCAAATCACGTATGATTTTGCATTACAAATATCATTTGATTGCGGAATGCGGTCAACGCATGGGTGTACTGGCAACTTACCCTACAACCTAGGTCGTAGCCAAGGTCACACATAATCAAATGTGATAATTTTACACATTAATTTAATGTAATATCATATTTGATTTGGTCGTCCTGATGTTATTTTATTTTGTCATTGTTTTTGTTGGAACCCTAGTGTGTGTGTGTGTATATATATATATATATATATACACACACACACATTTGGGATCATGTGAGACCATCATGTTTTCGTGAGACCATCTTTTTTACACTTGAAACCTCACAGTAAAACACTATGAAGGTAACCTTCATAGTGTTTTTGCTGTGAATATTCAAATTTTTTACCTTCACAATATTCTATTGTGAAGTTTCATGTATAAAAATGTGGTTTCACAGGTTTCACAAAAACATATTATTCTCATTTGAACTCAATCATGTATATATATGTGTATATGCATATATATATACATACATATATAGGTGTATATATATATATATATGTATATTTTGGTTATGCAAGTTTTATAAATATGAATTTATGTTCTTATATCATGGCTAATTAATTAATATTTATCTTTTATATTTTCTCCAATTCTTTCCAAAATGAAGATACGAGGAAGTTGTTCATAAATAGTAATATGAATGATGACGTTTTAACCATATTTATAACTTCTGACCCCTCCTTACCATTACGGCTTGTTACACCAACCATTAGTTCTTCTAAAAATCGTGATAAATTTTGATTAAATTAAATATCGATGGTAATTAATGAAATTTATGTTAAATTAGTGATGAATCTTAAATAAGTCAAATAGTTCCTAATGCTACGCCTATTGATCCTTTCGTCTTTATTAGAAAAATGCATAATTAATATCACACTTCCAAAGATGTAGGCCATATTTAATAAAATAGCTATTGATTGAGAAATTAATTGTTGAATAATTAATAAAGTTGTTAATTTATTAATCAGTCATATTTAATAAAAAAATTAAAATAATAAAAACAATTATATGGGTTTTGATTATTTACAAAAATATAATTGGCATTAATTACTAAATAAAAGTTATAAAACAATCCCTAACAATTATTGAAAATTTTATTTGATGTAAAAATTAAAAAAAAATCAGTTTATAAGTTAGGTTATGAGTTATCAAGTGCGACTTTTTCAATAAGCTCTAGCTATAAATTTGTTTATGGTTACCAAATATAACTGTAATGTTATACCTTTGGAAGAAAATATCTGACTAGTCTCTTTTTTGTGTGCTACATAGAAAATAGAATTTATTTTGTTTTTATTTGAAAATAATCAGGATATATATATAAAACATAATAGATACAAAACTTGTCAAATATCTAAAACGTTTAATAAAAACACAGAAGTATGCCCTAAGTTAAGTGGTGGCTAGTCGTTAATTATTTAGTTATTCATGGTAGTAACAATAACCATAGTAATGGAACACTTGATTTTTTTTTGCGATTTTACATATATTTAATACAAAATTTTATATTTCAAACATTCCGATATCAAGATCGTTTAATTAATATTAGGCCAACAAAAAATATATAAAACATGTAATTTAGCACGATTTTCTGACAAACAAATACAATCATTTTCTTAATTAACTTCTCTCTTGCCGAAACAAATTAATAGAAATGAAGTTTTGAATTAATCTTGCAATGGTGCTTATCTAGCTAAGACCGTTTAAAACGTCAAATTAATTATGTATTAAATTAGATAAAATATAATTAAGAATCTTGATTAAAGTGATTTTGTATGTGGGTGGAATTTTGCAGGTATGCAAAGTGGAGTCTATATTATATTCGCTGTTTGTGACTTGGAGAAAGTAATGGTTGTCTGCTTCATGCAACATCTTGTCACTCATTCTTCATTATGCTTTCTTGTGACAAGAAGGGACATGCACATATATAATAAACTTGTATATTTATAGATCATGGATCAACCTCTAAATGCTATTCCGTTAGATCAAACATCATTTATCCTTTCATTCATATATGCTTCATGAGTGCCCACATATATACATATATACATACATATACATACACATATATACATACATATACATACATATATATATATATATACATATACATACCTATATAT